ATTCTTATTTTCAAAAAAAATAACCAACACTTTAATTTCCACAATAAGGCTCTTTTAGACAAAGATTTCAACAGTTTATAGAGGATAAAAAATATATAAATTAACACAGTTTAAAAACAAAAAGGAAACACCAAAAGAAATGTAATAACTCGAGGCACAGGAACAAGCTGCATAAGATGGAGTGAGCCATTGGGTCTTTAGCCTAGCTTTAAAAATCTCCACAAACCAATCCTGCCGAATAGCTTGAGGGAGATTTTTCCGTAGCACGAAAGGAAACAGAGAGCTCCCCAACAGGTTCTTTTAGCTTTAGTAACTTTTAAAGCACTAGTACCAAGAGTCCACAGGTGCAGAAAGTTGGAGGAATAAGAAGGCGTCAGACTATTTAGACCCTTACAGTGAAGAAGCAAGACCTAAAAATTTGCTTGAATCTGAAAAGTCAGCCAATAAAGCGATGTCAGTTTGGAATAATATGAAAGGCAGAGAAAGCAGAATAAAGCATTAGCCTCACTACATGCAGCTAAACCAGGTTCTGGAAAAAGTGTACTGTCTCCATCTGTCTTTGGACCGATGATTAATTTTGATGTTCAGCTGATCAGTTCCGAATGATTTCACCTCCAGCTTCTCTTGGTAAGTTTGCTTTAAGGGACTTCAGTCAATTTTCCAATTTTCAAGCTTCCTGTCACCTTAGAGCACAGCTCTCCTGCTCCCAGAGCTATCCTATTCTTTTGCATTGCAGAGGAGCTACTGCGAATGTAAAACTTCTAACGAGAGTCTATGGCCAAAGATTTTTGTTCCCCAGAGCGGAAATACGTCACCAATCCGACAACGACAGAAAACAGCTTTACTTGTCATTAAACATTACATATTTATCTGGTACGGCTAAAAAACATATTAATATATTTTGAAATATTTTAATTTTATAATTTAATTTTATGGGTTTTTTTAATATCTAAATCAATGTCATTTGGTCGGTGCACCCTAGCTCCATCTATTGGCCAGCCACCGCTAGTATGAACACTGAAATGTATCGATAAGATCCCCCACATTGAAATAAATGCTAAAATCTCTTTTTACAATGTTCCTAAGAAGATTTAGTAAAA